CCCAAAAGAACGTCAATTAGTACATTTTTGCAGAAAGTATTAATTTAAGTCACGGATATAAGACGTCTTGAAGCTCCCGTTATAAATTCAGTGGAACCTTTTCTTGATTCCAGCTGATACCAAAGCAACTCTTATCGTATCTGTAAGACTAGAAAATATTTGCTGAATGCAGAACAGCACACGGAGATGTACGAGGCTTTCTGATTATAGAATTATATTCTGGCCCTTTTCCGTCCCGTTGCCGGTCAGTTCCGGCGGTGGATGCGGTAGTCTGTTCTAGCCGTCAAAAATGGCCATCTGAAATCGGCGAAACTTGTCGCTTAAGACTGTCAAAACCGCTCATCGTATTCGGAGGTCGAAACTGGCCGAAAACCATCGTTTTCGACTGGTTTCCGCCTGTGCTGTTGGGCTACGCCGATTCTTGGTAGAACATAAATTTTTTTTGGTCGGAGCGGCTTTGCGGTAAAATTTATGTGATATTCGGAATCTACAAAAAAAACTGCATCGAATGATGTATAATTCGATGTGTTTCGAAGAAAAAGTTTTCGCCCAAAATTTGAGGGACCTCGGGTAAAAATTGCGAGGAAAACTTTTTGTCTGCCTTCAAGTTTAAACTTAGGTGAACACCGTTTCTCGACATGACCGATTCGAATATCGCGGTCGGCTGGAGTCGTTGCGAGGAAAAAGCAGGTAGTTGTCATATGTTTAACACCGCTACTCTTTTGACTTCATCAATCATCTAGACACGTGTCAATAGCCCATCCAGTAGTAAACTTCAAAAGCAGCTTTTCAATGTGCGTTTATGTGAAATACGTTTCTTTACACAACCGATATGTCTAACATTGAATCGATTTCAACTCGAAAACTGAAGTATGATAGATATTGTAACGGCAGCTAATTGGAATTTCATTTCACTTTATTCAATTTATCTTATTTGTTTCGCGATAGAATTTTCGAAAAAAATAAAAACCGTATCAATACAGGAGGTGCGTTACGAAAATAGACAATTCTACTAATACAATTCTTATATATTTTAGTTTCTTGAAAATTCTATTATCGCGAAACAAATAAGATAAATTGAATAAAGTGAAATGAAATTCCAATTAGCTGACGTCACAATATTTGTCATACCAAATATTTCTATTGTATTCGTTTTTGTGACTAACTCTCATGATCCCAGAGCCCTCTGAATGTTGATCATATACCTCATCGTTCTGAATCTAAAAATGACTATGTAAATCATTTTTGCTGAAAATGTGTTCTATCAATAATTTGCGTAGACAGATCTGAAATCTGCTTGCATTCGAGAAATACATGTGATAAATATCGATTAACAAATGCATATTTTATTGAATAATTCTAAATTTGTCTAACCAAACATATCGATTCTAGTGTTGCTAAGCAAATTCTGAATTTGTCTATAACATATATTATCAAGTCGCTAGCCATAAAAAAACGTTCAGAAAATGATTTTAGCGTAATTGCTGGAGAATCGAAATAAATGTAAGCTCTTTTTGATATAGAAAAACGCTAATTATTTTATTTCAATATTCTTCTTGCCTCCAACCTCAGACGTCTGTAAGTGGATGTGATGTAACCATTTACATACTTTCGATTTTGTCCTAACGTAGAGATTTTACATGGCAACAGTTACAGTAATTCGGAGTAAACTTTTTATTTGTTTCTATGAACCAATAATAAATGAGGTAAAGATTGGACTACTGAATCAAAGTGCACTGATGACTGAATCTCTTAATTTCACTTTGCAACTATACAGATTTGAAAGCTCTTGAAAGGTTTTTTTGAAGAAAAAAAAATGATTTGATATTAACTAGAAGCAGCTGACACGTGGTTGAATTCAGTACATTTCGATAAACTAGTTCCATTAATACTCAGTGATCTGATGATAAAATTCTATTCGACGTACGCACATACGTCTTTGTCTCTATATATAGATATTTTATTTAAACAAAAGAATAGATAAAAGTCTACTATACTACATAGGAAAAGAAAGTAGACAACCACTGGCTTACGACATCGGTAGCGATAGATTTTTTTGTTCTTTTCACATTTTTCATTTAGGTCCATATACATATGTCGACATACACTAAAACTGTATACGTATAGAGTCATTTGATTTTAATATATACGTGCAAAGAACACAAACGCTCTATCATTTCTAAGAAATCCAATTGACTTGTTGCAAGTAAGATTACGTACAACTTAGCCAAATCATCGGTAAAGCAAAATGGAGTTAAATTAATATCAAATACATGGTATACAATCAGTTTTCTACCTTTGTCCAAAAGGATTCTATTTTCCATAAAAGTTACGCTTTTTTTTCAGGAAAAAAAAGATGCAAAATTTTTTGTACTCTACGCTCTCGTAACACCGAATGAGTCATAAAATCGAATCATTTCTCGATATAATTATTTAATGTTAGTTTTTTTGACATTTTGTAACATAACTATAATCTGATGCTTAAGGATCTATTCAATTCGACTAAAGAGAGAAATGTCGAGGTCGGCCGTCCGTTTAGGTATAAAGTGAACAATTGAGTTTCTTTTTTGTTCTTTTCTATTATTTGAACCACAACATGTAAGTCGTTTTCTCTCTTTTTTTCCTATTAATCAACAGGCAAAATGTTGACCAAGTTTATATTTTTTCTTGTCCAGGTTTTTTTTTTTTGTATAATCGAAATGTCTACGCTACATCTGAGATATAAATAATAAGGACCTAGCAAGTAGTAGAAACCTATTACATCCGACTAGAACAGAACATAGTCAGCGGATGAAAACAACAAAAGGAGATATTTGTCACATATGACCGTGAACAAAAGACATGTAAGTCTTTTTTGTTAGATCCGTTAAAATACGTTTTCACATCACACCTTTATGTATGCAACAAAGGGAATGAAAAAGAAAGTATGTATGAAGTGATGAGGTAGGTATAGAGTCATTAGTAGTTGGCCCACATAAAGGGCTCCTTTAATAAAGCAGCAGTAACAAAATTTAGATTTCGTTGAAGTTGATAAGGCAAGAGTGTTTTTCGTCTGTAAATGTTTGGTAGTCAAAGTACAGATACTTTTCGATGAGAAAGCATATTTTGGAATAAATATGGCCTTAAGATGTAGTACAATATGTTGAAATAGTACGATATGATGAAATCAATCAGTGTTTAATACATTCCACAACTACAAGCTGCAGATTCACTGTAGGTGTCTCAGGTTTTGTGAAAACGTTTAGAGCTTTCCTCTGTCAGATGGAAAAACAAAGTTTAAAGAGATTTTTAGGGCAAAATGGCTGTTTTTACACTCGATAACGCCCTTCTCGTGTCAGATATTTTTAAAAGACTGACAAGAATCCAGTTTTTTGTTCTCGATTTGTAAAACACAACAAGAAGAAAATAGATCGTTCTAAAAAATTTCTAAAATATAGAACGGAACAAAAATAAATTTTCTGGTACTTCTGTCGCTTTGATTTCACTTATGAAAAAACACTTTGTCACTTTGATAAATAAATATAATTTTGTAATTTTCCAGAAATCATGAAATACTCACTGAATTCTTTTTATAGATTGAAAGGTTTGCAGAGCATTTTAGATACACAGCAACTCGAACTATTTATACTAATATTTAATATACAACAAACACAGAAAAATTTCAGCTTTTTTACTTACTACATTCTCGTCCGATTGTAATGATATTAATGTGTAATATTGTAAAAGAGGAAAAACTGACAAGAAGAATAAAAAGAAAAATATTGACCCAAAAGAGGAAACATTCATGATATAAATGATATTATTCGATACTGATGCAAAAAATGTCGTTTATCTTATTTTCTCTGCTATTGTCATATTGAATACGTAATAAGACTAATTGTTTATTTTCGCGTAGTCAATTGGGTGCATTCTATAAAAGAATGTTTACATTTGTTAATCTCATACTTTCATCGTAGACTAATATATCTATTTTAACAGATTTCTATTCACTAAAATTATTTTAAATATCCATCGTAATCGATATGAATGGTTATGGTGATTTATTAGTTTAAAATAAAAGGATGTTTGTATACTAACAGCTCGAAATTGAAATACTGATAGAATTTACCAATATGATTATATTAACATCGAAACATACTGGGTCGGTTGCTTATTAAAAGATATATGTCACAATCTGATCATCAATACTTAAAGAAAACACGAGCTACATATTTTGGAACTCTTTATGTTTCCAGATCGACAAATTTTAAAACGAAATTTTGTGGAATTTTCTAAGAGTTTTCTGTGAAATTCTTGCACAGCTTACGCAACATTTGACAGGATGTATATGCAAAAGTCGCCTGATCTTCCAACATTTTATTACATCTTACAGAATCATACTTGTGACGTTTTCCACATCCTTTGAATAAATACAGGTTTCTCGTTTTACTTTATTTTCTAGTCTAGGTAGAAATACAAACTCTTCCTAATGATTATGTTTGATTTCATTTTCTTCGTATTCGTATGCTATATTCGTTCGCAACTGATATGTGACGTTGAAGAAAAGCAAAACTTCAAAGTTTGTTTATAAGAGCAATATATACTATGCATGGTAGCAAAAACTTGTATTTTAAGAATGAGTTATCCTTTCTTGCAAGACTTTTTACAACATCTTGTAACAAGTAGTTGCAAGATTCTACAAAATCGTAAACAATCTTATGACAAGTTCTTATAATAATCATTTCGGCGAGCCATATCAGATTCAATCTGAAACTGTTGTCGATTGTCAGTGTATTACTACTAAGAATAACATCTCATGATTGTTATTGGTAACCCACTTCTTCAACCCAGGACTTGCTCTTCTTGTTATACAATGGCGAGTCAATTTAGCACGATGTGTCAAGAAGGTTATCTTAAAATAAATATAATTTAAATCGATATCTCATGAATATCATCGTAGTACTTTCGTCGTAATCTTTCTTTTCCAACTTTGTTTACATTTTTCAGATAATTTCTACGTTATGCAAGCACCCTTTTGCTGCAAGCTGCCGCCGTTTACACGTCAACACACATCATCATCAATTTATTATCGACAACAACAACAACAAGTATCCAACAGTTTACTTTACATAATGACGAAAGATCAAGGTCATCATTCAGCTTCACAAATAACAAAATCTCCACCAACAAAAGGCCTTCTACGTCAATTACCAGGTGGTACGAAACAAAAGTACGATGGAAAACAATGGCGAAGTGTATGCACAACACCACATGTAGATTGTAGGAACGTTCAATTTCGATACGGTTTATGTCAGAAACACTATAGTGTAATTAATAATCAAAAAAAATATACACACTCGAGAGTGGTAACAGCAACGTCATCTTTAATTGATTCGCACAATGAGACGTTAAAAAGGAATTTATATGGAAGTCAAATTAATCGTTCAACGAAAAAACCTGAAAAGAAACCGGGTAAATAATGTCTGTACGCCGAAATATGCAAAGATGCTGACATCTAATATTTTCAGCACATCCAGTTAGTAATGTAAATCATTATGATTTTGACGCTGAAGAAGCAAGTGATAGTAACGATGATCAATTAGTCGAAGACATGGATGTAAGTTCAAGAGAGTATTATAGCAATGTGAGAATGCTATCGCTGCTGTTATTTTAGCAGAGTCAAACGGACGATATTCATATTGTTCAAACCGAGTATGATGATTCGGACAATGCTATGGATTTCGGTATTGAACAAATTTCTATTAAACAAGAAAGAAAAGTAAGAAACACAATATTTTCATTACACCCTCAATCTATCCTGTTTACGTTTGTAGACAATGCCCTCATCATCCAATGATTTATCAAAAAAACCACTTGTTGTACCACAACAACAAACAAAATCAACTGATCGAAATCCGAGAAGAAGAAGTACAGCAAGATCTTCAGTACGTACTATTAAGTGATAAAGATATGTTTCAATAACTAACTTCGTTTATTTTTTTAGATACAATTTTTGACTAACGGTCAAAATGATGATGAAATCGAAATTATCGGAGGAAAAAAAGCGCCGCTACAAAGTGAAGAAAAAACTATGCATATGATTGGTCTTGGTGTACCTCCATTAACAAAAACAGAGGAGAAACTTTTATGTACTCAACTGACACAACATCCTCAATCAAGTCGATGGACATTCTTGGACGCCGAATTATTTGCAAAAAAATTTGCTTGTGAAGCTGTTAAAGATAATTTCAATCATGATATGGAATATATTTCTCGAGAATGGTTCTATGATTTTTTAATGAAAAATCCACCGGTTGTCTCAACGTTTAAACGGTGGTTCGAACGAATGAAACCAATTTATCCGGCTAATGGCAATTCGATTGAAATTAAACTTTGGCATTTGAGTGTCATTGCACGTGCACCAATAAATATTTAAAAATTTTTTTGTTATATTTTTTTGTTTTTTATCAAATGTTTTTGTTGTTTATAGATATTTTTAGATAGAATTAATTTTTTTTCGCATGTTTCAATGACATGCGATAGTGATACTTGTTTTGTTGCAATATTTTGTTGTTACACTAAAATATAATATATTGACGAGTTAAAAACATATAAGAACACCTCGCCAGTCTCTAACAAAATGTTGATTCGCACTGTGATGCCCCTTGGGTGAAAAATATGCACCGTGATATAGGACTGCACGCGTTTTTTCCCGAAACAGATCCTACTGCGCACTGAAGTCATGGTACCTGAAACCCTTTCCGTTCTAAAACTTATTTGATGGTCATCAGACTAGATAACAATGTTATCATTTG